TCCTCTCTCTCTCTCTCTACTTCCATTACTCTGTCTCTGATACTTTCAGTTTATCTTTCCCTCTCTCTCTCTCTATGATACTTTCTCGGTTTCTCTTTCACTCTCTCTCTCTCTCTGTCCTGCCAGCTTAGGCTTAGCTTATTTTTATAGGAGTACATTGACCTCTAACACTCCAACCTTTTATATAATTACCAAACAAAACCCAGACGGTCTTAAATTACTCCAATGCCCCTCACTTAGTTTCTCTACTAGGGTTATCTCTTGTAAGCGCAAAAAATACCGCTGTACGGACTTGTAATGTTTTTAGAAAATTATAAAAAATACACATAATCTATGATGCGGATTTGTATAAGGCCGAGATTCTGAACAACAAAAAAAAACACGCCTTCAAATAGTGTCGATAAATATGGTTTCAATAATGAAAATATTTGTGATGCTTTTAAAATAAGTTTTCATCTTTAATTATAAAATTTTAAGTTTAAAAAATAGTGTAAATTGAGAAGATATATAAAAACTTGAAAATCTCGAAAATTGACGGTCCAAATATACATTACAAGATGCACTTTTTTCAAAAATTTAAGCTTAAAAAGTAGTGTGCTCTAATTTGATTCTTTAGAGCCTAAGCACTGCATAAACTTTTTCCTTATAAAAATTGCACATAATATATCAATTATTGAATAATTTATCTATATTTGTTACTTCATTTCAAAATACCAATCAGTTATACATGAACATGCGTTAGGATAGTTAAAAATAGGTAAAATGTTAAATTGTTGATCACTCATGTCTCTTTTGATTAAATTTTTTTCTTTTTGAATGTTAACTTGTGACCTAAAATGATGTGTGTTGCTTGCCAGCTTGACCACCTCATCCTAAAGGGTAACCCATTAACTTTTTTTTTTTTTTTTTCATTTTTTTAGAGAAGGGAAAAGTTTAAATGTGCCCATCCAAAAAGTGAACTCAGACCTTAAATACAATATGAGTTACTCTAGGTGGATTTTAATTTTATATCCATGATTTTGTGTTTACGAAATAGTGTGGTTAGAATGGATCTGACAGTCTGCATAGAATTAACATGAGCGATCCAAAACTACAGTAAAATTATATATTTTTTTATTCTATACAAAATTCCTTTTTTTTAACACTTAAAATCTTTTTTTTTCTAGATTGTTGACTGTGATAATTGAGATTTTTGCCTTAAAAAAATTTAAATACAAAATCCATCAAATTTTTAGAGTCACAAGTTTAGAGGATAACACGTTCTCGACTAGCAAAACACGGCCCCTAAAAAAAGATATATTTTTTTTATTTATTTTTTACTAATATTTGGTTGTAATTTGGCGGCAAAATTTAGAAGCACTATAGTGATTTGTACCGGACTTGTACAGCTACAAGTGGACCCGGCATATTGGGTGTACTGGTACTGTGTACTACGAGAGAGGGGGTATTATTGTTATTATTATAAAGGTCATGAGAAGACTACCTTGTTTTGTGATGACTAAAATACCCCTCGAGTCTTTTGGCTTTATCGTTGAGCAAAAGTATCCGTTAGGTATGTCTTTTGTGCATTATGATTCCAAATTTAAATCTAAAATGAGTTTCATGATATTGAAGAACAAAGCAGGAGAGGGATGGATAGTTTGATGCTTTATGCCACTTATACATTGCAAATTTAGAGAGAGAGAAAGAGGGGGGATAAATGAGTTTGAACCTTTGAATTGAAATGAGCTCAAAACAATTATTCATAGATGGTAGTTCTCACCAATTATGATTTACCAAAAAAAAAAGTCGTCACCAATTATTTATTCCCTCTACCCTCCCCCATCTTCACAGCCTTTCCTCTTTCTCCATCTTGGGGCCAAATAAATATATTTGAAAATTCAGCTTGGGAACCGGGTTCCAGTCGAGTTTGATCCGCGTGTTGGCTAGCATTTAAGAACCAAAAACAAAACCTTAAATCTAGTATTTGAAACCAACAAATTGAAACACAAATAAAAATAATATAAAAATACATATTGAAAAAATAAATGGCAGAAAAATTGTCAAAAAATAGTAAAAGTCAGAATTCCAGATTTTTTATTTTGATCCAAAAAAATTGTTAGGGCTTTTATATATCATTATGATTGGAACATTCTGGGATAAATTTGAATGAATTTGGTGAAAAAAATGGGAAAGAAATCGAAGATTACTAATTTTGGATTAAAAAAACTCTAAAATTTGAAAAATCCATTTATTTTATTGTTACCTTTTTGTACTACAAATAAATGGTCTCTTAATATACAATCCCTTTGGTTATTGCTTTTGACTCAAAAAAGAGGGGTGTCAATAATGATTTATTAAATCACCTAGCGTATGTGAAATGGATAATTGAAAAGTGTGAATAATCCTATGTAGTCCATTTATGATTAAAATTAGTTGTAAATTGAATTTTAATTTATATATTAATGAGGGTAATTATCAAAAGGGTGCGGTTTGTATAGAGCCTAGGCTCTAAACAATCAAATTAGAGCCTACCTTCAAATAGTATCGAGAAATGCAGTTTCAATATTGGAAATCTTTATGATAGCCTTCAAATATATTTTTATCTTTATTTATAAAGTTTAAAGCTTAAAAAATAATGTAGATCGACATATCTATGAAAACTTAAAAATCTTGAAAATTGGCGGTCAAAAAACTCATTACAAAATACACTATTTTCAAAACTTGAAATCCATTTTTTTCTCATGTCCATGCATCTTGATGTCGAGATGAACAATTTGAGGATATTTGTGCATCAAAACATCTTCTAGTGAAAGTTTTGAGGTAGGTTCAAATTTGTTTGTTTAGAGCCTCCGCTCTATATATAAACTTTTCCCTTATCAAAATATCTCCTTTTTTAAAAGAAAAAATAGAAAAAAAACCCTTTCTAAAAATTACATACATACCCATTTGTCCATATTTATCTTTTTTTTGCCCAAAATGACAGTTTTAATGGAACCGTGATAGACTCTACTTCACCTACTAGACAGTGTGTTGCTCTCTCACTCTCTCTCTCTCTCTCTCACAGAGGATACGAAATCAATCTCAATCTCTCTCTAAAAAGGGCCGTAACTCTGTTATGGTCCACTTTTGTGCAGGTTCGGAGAACGGTTGACTGGATACAGTCTTAACTTTTGGCATTTTTGCATAAAGGGACCGACCTCAGAGTTCGAACCCATATATTCAAGCTGACAACCAGAGCCTTCTACATCACACCAAGCGACGGCCCCCAATCTCATTCTTTCTCGATCAACCCTAAAAAAATCTTGCTCCATAACTGTTGAAACTATTAGCCAACTTCTAGATACTTGAAATCGCTGGTAGCCTCCTAATCCTCTACAAATCCAAGCTTTGTAAAACCCAACAAATCTATCCAGGAAGCGCCACGGTTCCTTGAGGTACATCATAGCTTTTTGGACAGTTTCTATGAGTTCATGTAGAAATGAGCCATCTCTTAAACTTCTATTTTGGAGATGGATATTTGGACCTAATTTTTAAAGCCATGTAATCTCTAATATGGAGATCATGAATATGAATATGAATAAATAAATAAAATTCGAAAATTAAAATAATAATTCTATAAAGGAAACATTTGGACAGTTAGTTTTAGTAAGTCAGTGTTCAAAAAGACTCTGTCAAGGTATTCGGCACCTAACCGAGCCGATTTACTCAGGCGAGTCCGAGTAACTCGCCCGAGTCCAGCTCAATTTTTTTGGTAAAGAAAATGAGTAAAAAACGTAATATCTATAATTAGTGGGCAACTTTTTACAACTTCGATAAAATGAAGAAAAAAAATTTGCTCAATTTTTTTGGTAAAGAAAATGAAAAAAAAACGTAATATCTATAATTAGCGGGAATCTTTTTATAACTTCTATAATATGAAAAAAAAAGACGATGTTGAAAAAATACACATTCTCACAAGCCGTATTTGAACCCACAGGTCAGTTAGGTTTACACGCCCCTACTAACCATGAAGCCTCTCATACATGAATGAATTAACTCTGACGTAGTAATATACATACGTTTACTAACATGTTGTATACTCTACTCACCCAAAACCCGCCTAGCCCATAGGGCAAGGCCAAGTGGCATCGGCCGAATTTTAAAACACACGTTTCAATTGTTTTTAGACGGACCACGTATTTGCATCAAACTTTAACATAAATGTTTTATATCATGAGGACCGCAAATGTAGAAATGCGATCCCCACCACATAAGACAATTTTCCTAACTGTATTAAGCCGGATTAGGCATGGGATGAGGCATCACGGCTTTAGGATGAAGCATTACAGCTCTAAAGCCGTGATGCCCGAAGCTGTTATTCTCGGCAACCACGGTGCTTTTAGGTGCATCACTTTATTGATGAGATATCACAGCGCTAACATAATCCCGTTTGATTGCCAAATTGGTGATCTCATTGAATTTGGAAACGTACAAATTGGTTATCCAAAATAATATTAAAAATAAATAAAATAAATGAGAAACTAAAATAAAGGTTTATAGGGCGGTGATTTAGAGGATCTAAAAAAATCAGATTGGCCTAAAAAATAAAAAAAGGTAAAATATATGAGATTGTCGGCAAAGAGATCATTTACTTTTTGTACAAAGACATCACAATTATTCTCGTTTTTCAAATTTCAAAATAAGTGGTTGCAAGTGTTATGAAATAGACACAAAAAATTCTTGGACTTTGTGACTCACCCCAAACCATCCACTTTGATACTGAATGAGCGGGAATAGTCGTGACCTCCTTGTAATAAAGAGTATATTTGTAGATAATCCTAATTTATATTTTCATATGATGTTTAATAGTTTTGATCACATGTGCAAAGCATGTGCTCTTTACTAGTATTATTTTATTTCTTCATTATAAGAAATCACAACTATTTTCACTCATTAGACGTCAAATTGAATGTCTTGGGGAAGTCAATAAGTTCAAAGTGAGTCAGCCGACTCACTTATTACAGTGCGGTCTCTTGTGTATCTAATATCTATCTCTAAGATGGATGTCAAAAAATGGTACATCCACTAAACTTTAAAATGGACGGTGAATAAAGGAATTAAAAAAATAGCGTTTATATTGTTTGAAATAAAAAAATTTCAAATTTAGATCATTGTCATGGTTGATATTATCGGACTTTAACATTTTGGATAAAAATTCATCTTTGAGATATACTTTGTAGGGAGACCGCACAATAATAGTGTGCGTCTGTTGAGGTACCAAAAACTTATCCTTATGTCTATTCAATAATACTCTTACAACTAACCATTTTAAAATTTAAAAGATAAGAATGATGGGCCTCTTGTATAAAAAGTAAAAGAAAATTGTTTCATGAGTTAGCGGGCATAAGAGCCATAAATAAGATATGGGCGGTGCATAAAAAAATACTAAAAAAATTATTTTTTTATTTTTTTATTTAAGGTCATCTTGGGCTGATGAATCTCCAAAAAAAAAAAAAAAAATCATCTAAAATGAATTTTAGTGAGAGGCTGCATACGTACATATGTGTTGGCCGACTCATGAAAACCCCACCCAAAAGTAAATAGAGCAAGGTTCTTATGCTTCCCCTATAGCATAAAACTTGTATACTTCCCCCTATCCAACCATTCATTCTGAATAGACGGCTGAGATGATCCCAATCAAAATATCATGTTGCTACACTATTTTATTTTTAATTTTTTTCTACAAAATATTTTGACACCAAATTTTAGGCGTCCACTATTCTCTTAAACTCACCCTTGTAAAAAATATAATAAATATTCTTAATAAAATAAAAATGATGAAAATATACCTGGAAGTTTCCAAGGATATTTTAGTTATTGTATTTTATTAAAAAAATATTTTTAATATTTTTTAGGTCCACCGTATTGAGAACATGATATAAACTAAATTTTATATTCATACAACTTACAAAAAAAATTAAAAATAAAATACCTTGAGACATTAGATCTAAATCAAAAGGTTAGTGGCCGACTTGATCTAAATTGATCGGCTGGATGGAGGGGGAAGTATACAAGTTGTATGCTCTTGGGGAAGTAAAAAGAAGTATATAAGCCTTTCCCAGACCATCCCGAGGAGGGAGAGACCAGAAAGACGCCATTACACGTCAGTTTATCTATACATGGGATAAACGTGTATCTTATTCTTAGCAGGCTTCCTCCCTCCAAAGTCTTTTTAACTTTGAAGAATAAATGCTAAGAGCGAGTGCCATTAATCTTAATCCTTCGCCTGCAACTTTTCTGAATTCTTAAATCTTAACCCCCATCTCTCTCTCTTGATGCTGCAACTCTGATTACGAAGTATTGGTCAGAAACAAAGAGCTAAAAGAGAATACTGTAATTTTTATGCGCACTCTTTTCTTCCCCCCTCCTTTCTGGAATTTCTTTCCGTGTTTATATTATCAGACATAAAAAATTGCGATTGCCTTACTGTTTTGAATCACTGGTTCATTTTTCTCCTTTGGTTTTTAGCAGTATATGTGATGATGCTTTTGAGGCGCATTTGGAGAGGAAGGGCTGTGGTTTTGGGGGCATGCAATAGGATGAACAGGGTTAACGGAAGGGACTCTGCGTTGGCGTTTGAATCAAAGGATCTTACTTTTCCTTCAAGTGTTTCTTCCCATACTGTATTAACATCATTTAGCAATGTAAGTTTGGATTTCTGTGCAATTTTTCTCTTTCTCTTGGTGGGTTTTCTTTCTCTTCAATTGCAGCTTATTTCATCTGTTTTGGATTTCTCAGCAATTTTTCTCTTTCTACTGGCGTTTCAAAAAGCGAGCCGGGTCCTAGGCGGCCTGGGTCAGGCCGTTCATGGAAATCCATGCCATAACTAGTGTTGTTGGGTTTTCTTGCTCTCAGTGTTTCAAAAAGTCTTAAGCAGGTCCTAAGTGGCCCCAGGCCGCCCATTGGCTAGGCAGTTCCTAAGCGACCCAGGCCGCCCCAGTGGCTAGGCAGATCCTTAGCAGTTTGGGTCCAGCCGCACCGCCCTGCCTAGGTAGGGCCAGAAACTGGGATTCTACATTTATATATCTTATAAAATATAAGAATTAGGTATTTAGGCACATCAGAATTCAAACTATACTACATTAGCACACAATCCATACCATAAATCGGTATATATTGAATTAAAACTTAAAATTTACCAACCAAATGCCAAACCAGTGGAACTATAAATCCACTATCCACAATACACAACCAAGAAGAGAAAAAAAAAATGAAAAGGAATATTTGAAGACTCAAAAGAATCTTCAATAGTTTAATCAATGTTCAAAGTTTAATCATTATTCAACATTCATCATTCATCATCATAAAAAGTAGGGTTGGCTGCATTTGCATCATATTTATCGGAGTTGTCACGTTCCTCGACATATTGGTCGTCCTCCGTCGTCTCTTCTGAATCTGCCTCTTCTTCCTCCTCTTCCTCCACCATCGTCCCCTGTGCAGAAGATCTAGTGGCCCTAAGAGGGTCAGCTATGTCCCTGAAGAATCCATGATCATGTCCCATGTCAATCCTTCATGTCCCTCGACCGCATCATCATCAACTAACTACCCCATAACATTATCCATATTTTTTGATTTGATGGGTTCTTTCTTATCTCTTTTAGCAAACCTGTCGTTCAAGAATCAATTATACTTGACGTAGACTAGGTCATTCAGCCTCTTTGATTCAAGCATGTTCATGTATTATTAATACAATTATACAAATTACTCTTATGGCCTTACCTCTTCAAAAGTACTCCAATTGCACTTCAGATGAGGAAGTGGTTAGGTTTAAGATCCGAATGGCCAACTTTTATAAATTTGGAGAACTACATCCATGTTGGCACCAATTGGCTGCAAAGAATTATAATAGAATTATAAAAATGAAACTTGATTACTTGAACTTGATGAACTTAAGAATATTATTACTACCTAGATCAATTTTAGTCCTTTGCCTCATCGCCATTGGACTCCCAAAAGACTTTAATGAGCACTTGTAATTTATCAGCTCATCAACACATATAATATCATGGATATTAGGATCAGGGACTAGCACATCTACATACTTATTAAATCTAGTCATAATTGTGTCATTTGTGTGTATATCCTTGTCAACATAAAAAAAAGCTGGGTTCAAATGATAACTAGCTGCATGCAATGACCGATGTAGCTGCCTATCCCACTTCTCATCTCAAATAGGCTTCTAACGGTTCTCATCATCATCAAAATTTTGGGCTATCTCTTTTTTGTATTTCTCCATAGCCTCATATATGTAGCCCATAGAAGCCTTGTCACTATCAACCATGCAAAGAACTTTGACAAGAAGAAAAAATACCTTAAGAGCACTCTCCACCCCTCGCCAAAAACCCTTAGAAAGGATAGTATCTCCCACCTTTTTTCTAACCTGATCCTTGCACTACTTGCATGCTCTCTAGTCATCCGAGGTGAACATCTGTCTCCACTGCACTCTCCTCGAATGTATGCTATCTAAGCACAAGTACCAGGTCGTAAATCTCGTGACCTCAGGCCTCACAATCTCCTTTTCCTTTGTAAATCTACGCATCATGCTGAGGGTGAGATGGTGACTATAAATGAAATTTGTAATTGACTTTGCCTTCTTCACTGTACCTGATATCTCGGTTAAACCGTCAAGAACCTCAAGCATGAGGTCTATACAATGTGCTGTACATGGTGTCCAAAAGATTCTAGGATAAGCTATGCGTAACAAATTAGCTGCAGCAACATTAGGAGCAGCATTGTCTGTGACAACCTGTACAGCAAGATGCTCCTCAACCTCCTTGACTCCCTTCTCTATAATTTGGAATACGCAATGAGCATCATGGATATGATCAGAAGCATCAATATACCTCAAAAAATTAGTCCCTAAAGGACAATTCACAAGGAAATTCATTTGACTTCTTTTCTTCTTATCACTTCAAGCATCAATCATAATAGAGACCCCATACTGAGCCCATGTATCCTTCTTAACTTCTACAACTTCCTTCATGACACTCACTGTTTTTTTCAAAAGAGGCTCTAAAAGCTTATATGGGGTTGAGGGTTTCATCCCAAGTCCAAATTGGCCAATTGCCTCTATCATGGCATAGAAGCTGCTTAGGCGAGCGGTATTGAAAGGAATGCTCGCCTTATAAAACCATATAGCAACATAATAAACAACTCTATCTCTCTCTTCCTTCTTCATTCTATTTTCAGTGGTGGTTTGCTTCTTTGTTTTCTCTCCTGCAACCTCACGGTCAAGTCGAGGCAAAAAACTATACATAGGGCCTCTAACCCGAGGCTTCTTATTCCAAGAACCATAAGCAATTACAACTCCCTTTCCCTTTCCCCTAATAATGGATTGTTCTACCTCTTGACATCCCTCCCTAATCCCATCCTCATCACTATCATCATCATCATTATTGGCAAGAACCCTAGACCTAATCTGTGCTATGGAGGCAAATCTCTCATCTTTTTTCATTTTTACCATACTAAAAAAATCGGTTATTTTCTCTTTAACAACATCAGGAGTCTTTTTACATGGGGCAACATCCCCCCTAATACCGGCAAGATGTTTATTGAAGCGATTTATACCCCTTTTTGTATTCTTCTCACAAAACTTGCATCTTATGCAATTTTTATCATTAGGATCTAGGTTGTAGCCATATTTTCTGCTGGGATCACCACTCCTATTAGATCCCGAAGAAGATATCTCAAAATAATACAACTTATACAAGCAATAACAAAAATTACTTAATTTGATTGCTCAATCTTCAGACTTCCTCTGTAAAGATGCTTCTAAGGACTCAAAATCTTCTAAAAAACCCCCAATAGATTTATAAAATATCAAAAATTAAATCTAATATCAATGAGTGATGTTTTGATAAATTTCTCATAACTTTGAGAAACCCTTTGATCTTAAAGAAATCACCAAAAATTAGTTTTTGGGGGTTTTCTCTCTCTAAAATGGGGTCTAATGAGTTTTAGGTTTCAAATGAACCTAAAACCCACATTTTTGGGCCCCTAGTATAAAAAGAATGGCAAAAAATATCCCCACTGAGTGCTTTGTCCGCCTCTGAGTGGGGTGCTGTCTCTAGGTGGCCCCCCAGGTGTAGGTGTTGGGCGGCCTCCGAGGCGGTTTCTATGCTGCTTTTTTTGGGCGCCTAGGCGTGCTCCGCTTTTTGAAACACTGCTTTTAGTTGCAACTTATTTCACTGTTCATGGAAATCATGTAAAATCTAGTTTTGTTTGATTCTCTCTCTCTCGTCAATTATGCTTTTTTATCTGTTCACGCAAACCCATACCACATCTAGGTTTGTGAGTTTTTGTCTCACTTAAATTGCATCTTATTTCCTCTGTTCATGGATAGTTGGAAGCCCTTTATCATGTCTGGCTATATTGGTTTTCAGTTTTCTTCCATTGTAGATTATTTCACCTGTTCATGGGAATGCACTTTATGTCTACTTTTGTTGATTTTTATCTCTATTCAGTTACAGCCTATTTCACCTGTCATCGAAACCCATATCATATCTGGCGCTGTTGATTTTTCTTTCTTCAGTTGCAGATTATTTCACCTGTTTATGTAAACCCGCCTCATATCTTGATCTTTTGGGTTTTCTCGCTCTTCGACTGTTGCTTTTTCAACTTTTCATGTAAACACATAACATATTTACCCTTCTTGGTCTTTTTCTCTCGTGAAATGCAGATTATTTCATGAATTCATGGAAACCAATGTAATTTTTGGGTAGTTCACCTGTAGGAATTGAAGTTGAGATGTGGTATTGCAATCATCAACTAGTAACCAATCATGCCCAAGCCCAATTATTTCGCATGTCCATGGAAACCCATTTAGCAGCTGGCTTTGTAGAATTTTGTCTCACCTCAATTGCAGCTTATTTCAACTCTTTATTGAAACCCATATCATATCTAGCTTTGTCAGTTTTTCTCTCCATTCAGTTGCCACTTCTTTCACCTGTTAAGGGAAACCCATTCATGTCTTCCTTTGATGGTACCTATAGTAGTTATAGTTTGCAGCTCGTGTTAGAGCAACATAGATATATGTCTACTCTTGAGACACTCCCAAATTAGGACTGATCGTTAGATTGATTGACACCAGTGCATAAGCAAGTGATTATGTAATTAGTCTCTTTTCAGAATCCGTAGTCTCAATTCTTGTTTTCTGGTTGATTATCTTATTGAGACTATAAGCATTTGTATTTGGTGGCCATCTCTTTCTCTCTCTCTGGGGATTTTAATTCACTATATAAATTGTCTAGTTGCTTTTCTTGGATATGGAGAATCATTAGATTGAAAGTTTATAGCTTTTTAACCTAGTTGAGTTTTCTTAAGGACAGAACCGCACTCCCCTTTCTCTCTCTCTATCTTAGTGAGATTTTGAGTATTTATATTTATTGGCTATCTCTCTCTCTATGGATTTGAATTGGCTATAGAAATGGTGTAATTGCTTTTCTCTTTAGATACGGAGAATCATTTGATTTGTAGTGTATAACATTTTAACCTAGTTGAGTTTTCTTAAGGATCCCTTCCCTCCTTATTATGTGTCTGTGTGTGCATGTGCATATGCATGCGTGTGCGTGTGCGTGTGCGTGTGCGTGTAGTTATCTTGCCATCAAAGCTGTGATTTCAGCATTCTTGCTGTCAACGCCTTGATTTCACTATCCTTTTGGGCAATCATCAGTCTTGTTTCGGGATCCTTTCATGAAAGGAGCCGATTTATTCATTCACGCGTTCCTCCCCTAGGGCTTCATCTACCACAGTGACTATTACATTGGGTACAGATCAAAGGGATATTGGAGCTATCAAAGCTCCAGGAAGGTGAACCATCTTGAACCTTGCCAGAAGAATGCATTCAGCGTGGATATATATATATATATATATAATAAATAGAGAGAGAGAGAGAGAGAGAGAGAGAGAGAGAGAGAGAGAGAGAGAGAGAGAGATAGTAGTAGTACGTACGTCGTCGGTACGTACGTACGTAACGTACGTACGTACGGTACGACGTACCGACGTACGTAACGTAAGTAACGTTAAC